CGAAGCGAGTGGTCGTTGCCTCTGACAGCCACATTGTGTTGGTCCGGCGTTGCGTGACTAACGATCTGCTGCTGGACTCTAACGACTCTTAATTGGACCCACGCTATCGGCCTCGTTAGGCCCCTCCCCCTGCCCGGCCGTGGGCCAATCCCTGGCCTCCTGAGTGGAAACGGGCCGAGCGGCTGCCAGGCCGCGGCCTGATGCCTGGACGGCTGCCTGAGCGGCTGCATGTCCCGACCAGAGTTAATCATCTGGTGTTAACCTACATCCCCCCCACGCCTCCTCCTCCTCCTCCTCGACCCCCGGTTCCTCCTCACCCGGCCCCTCGCCGGCCCTCTGCCACCCGTTGGTGACGCCCCATCTGCCACGTGCCCCTTCACCCCTCTGCGCTGCTCCCGGCACGCTTCACCGGAAAAACTCGCATAGAAATGTTTTTATAGTAAAGAAATGCAGGTGGATGATCTTCACACTGTTTAGGAGGAATTTATATATTTTATATTTACAGCAAAAAGTGTTTTTATTATAAAATAAATGTAGATTTTTTCATCTTAAGTATTTTTAAAAANTTTAAAATGATGCAAATTAGGTCAATCATTTTAAATTTTCTATTTATTTTGGCTTTTTTTGTTTGTTTTTTTAAGAAATTGCAATTTTAAAAAAAAAAAAAAAAACTCTTTCATGTCAAAGTGAGAATAAATTTCCACAATGTAATGCTGGATGTTAAAAAATATATATATAAAATAATTTTAAAATGATGCAAATTAGGTCAATCATTTTAAATTTTGTATTTTTTTGACTTTGTAGGAATCTATTATTTTTTGACAAGAATTTAGGAGGAATAAAAGGATTTCTACAAAATAATGCAGAATACTTAAAATTAATTAAAAAAATAAAAAATTATGTAGGTAATTTTTTTTCTGCGTTTTTGACATTCCTCCTACAAACAATGTTGATTTACTATTAAAATATCTATATTTTGAATATCAATATAATATGAACACAAGATGTAAGTAAACACATCTAGATCATCATAAAGCACGACAACTTAATTATCAGAAACACAAATGTAGACTCTTGTATGACTTTCATTAATTCAATTAATGCAAAAATATTTATTTCAGTTTTTTTTTATTTTTTAAAAAAAAATTTTGGCTTTAATGTGCAAAAATTCACAGAAATGATTTTTGATGCTTTTATTTTGAAGAAATGGTTGGATTGTTGCCAGTTAATATATTTGTGATATTTAAATGTCTGTCATAAAAGTAAATCCTAGCTGACACTGGCGAAGAATTCAAGCTAATAGCATGACTAGCTTAGCATAAGCTAGCCTATAAACTCAGGTTCACTATTAAGCTACTGTTTCAGATGACAGTGAACTCAGACCCACTTTATGAACTTCCTCACACCAGTGACTTCATTCTAGCATCAGTAATGATCATTAAAGTTTTTCTCACCCTCCAGAAGTACTTCCTGTTGGCGTGCTTGGGAACGCTGTCTCTGGCGTAGACGTCTCCCTGCAGAGGCCCGAAGCGAGTCCCCTGAGGAATGTACTCTTTGCTGAACACACCTGTCACCTGCAACACAGGACAGAAACACCACTGATGTATGTGACCAGAGCCACGGCACAGAGCTGACTTTAGACCTGCAGGTAGAACCGGAGGAAGCCCGTTAGCGGCGCTGTGTTTACATGCAGCAGGTCTGCAGGACGCGCCGGGCCTCCAGGTGACCCACATCCAGCGCTAACCAGCTAATCGCATGAGGAGCATTACTCTCTCTGACCTGCTCCACTGATCTCTGACCTGCCGTCCTCACAAGCTCCAGACTCCAGTGCAGATGTTTGCTTCGAGCATTAAAATGTACAGAACCTTGCTTCAGAACCTGAGACCGGCGGTGACAAAACGCTCCTGGGACGCAGACATGAGCGGAGTCCCGTCAGCGCTGCAGGTGCTCCGAGTGTTGTTCTGAATGCTGACACGTGTCCGGGTTTCCTCGACCTGGTGGACGTACAGTAACACGTGTGGGGTTCTGGACAGTAACTGGGCCACTTCTGAGGGTTTTAGGATATGAGTGTGAACAGAACAACAGATCCAGAGTCAGACGACAGAGCGGAGCCGCTTCCCTTCATGACTCAGGATTAACAGTAAAAACGTTGATCAGCTGCTCCTGCGGCTGCTCTCTGATCAACACACACTTTCTCTTCCTGTTGTTCGGAAGTCCACACTGGTTTCAGAAAGGTCAGAACCAGAACACCTG